GAGTAACTGGACATCCACATGCCAAGTAGTGAATATAGATACAACTGTTACACTAGTCATAAAAATTAAGTCAAAATGGGTAACAGACCTAAATGTAAAAACAAAATGTAAAACTCCCAGAAGTTAACATAGGAGAAAATTTAAATAACTTTAGGGGTGGCAATTACTTTTCAGATAACTCTATGACCTAAGAAAAAATGAATAAACTGGCCTTTATTAAAATTAAAAATGGGGCCTCCCAGGTGGCGCAAGGGGTTAAGATGTAACCTATGAGGCTATCGGCAGCCACTGCAGCATGAGTTCAATCCCGGGGCAAAGAGCTACCCACATGGTGCAGTAGACCTCTCCTGACTCACCCACTGCTTCTCTCGGCAATGTACGTCAGTAGATCTGCCTGTTCTGTTCCACACTCTGTCTCTGGTGAATCCTCTCACCACCACCACCCCCCGCAAAACCTCTGGCCTGTACCCCAGTTCTTGTATGTGTAAATAAATCTTTAAAAAAAATTTAAAAATTAAAAATTAAATTAAAAATGCCTGCTCTGGAAGAAACTGTTATGAGAATGGCAAGAAAGGTCACGCTGGGAAAAAATACATTTGCAAAACACATACATTCACATACTTCCACAGCATTGTCTAAATGATAGTGGAACAAACACTCCCCTCTTAATTGCACAGCAGCAGAGACTGAACAAAGACAATCATCAAAAATACTCAGTCTCTGGCAAGGGCCTGGGAAAACAGGTCCCTAAAACACCACAGTGGGAATGTAAATTACCATCTTTCTGGAGGGTATTTTGGCTCTATCTGTCAAAATACAACCTGCACATATACTCTGATGCAGTCATTTCATTGCCATGGCCATGATTTCATACCATGGATATAGTCCCCAGTGAATCTCAATGCTCACTGTAACATATATTTAACAGGAAAGAACAAGAAAAAAAAAAAAAAACAGCGATTGTTAAAAGGAGGGGCGCTAATTAAATAGGTTATGGTGCATCCATGACAGAATGCTATTTAGTCCTTAAAAAGAATAAGCCAGATTGACAGGTGCTGCCAGAAAAGTCCCCAAGATACATAATGACAAATGAATAAAGGTTCAAAGTACACACATTATGATCCTACTTGTTTAAAAGTTCTACAATATAATGTCTGTATGAAACAGATACACAATTTTGAGTATTTCTTAAGTATATATAAATTCATAAGTAATATTATACATTAATATATTAAAGAGCAGGTCTTCACTTCTCTTTATTTTGTTCCCCTTGAAATATCTGCATCTTCTAAATACGTACCTTTTAAAAATTATACATATAATTTTAGAAAATCATATCTAATTTTATGGTGATGAGGGTTCACAAGGCAAGATCAGGGGACCTTTTTTTTTTTTTTAAGATTTATTTATTTATTTATTTACACAAGCACTGGGTACAATCAGAAGCGCGGCAGGGTGAGAGAATTCACCAGAGCCAGTTGCTCTATCTTTAATAAATGTTTTATTTATATATGTGCCTATATTTTATGTTTTACAAACACTCATGAACCTACATATAATTAATTCTAGCTTCCTTCTCTGACTCTCAAATTATCAAATAATCACCATGTTAGTTCAGCTACACCATTTCTTGGTTATAAGGAGAACATTCTGACACCTGGGATCAAAGTTCCTAGTGAACCTGGGAAAGCTATTTCTGGTGGGAAATTAACCTGTCTGAGGGGACTCCTGGCAAACATTAAAATCAAGTTCCATTTGAAAAGCCAGTGGCAATACTTAAAACCCAAAGTTGCCATTAGCAGCTACCTCCCACACACTCGGCCTGAAATATTGTTTCATCAAAGCTGCACCTCAAGGGCGGAGGAACTTTTCTGCAAAGCCCGAGGAAACCATCCATTGAAATATCTAACTGTCCTGCAATACTTTTATTCTGTACTTTTTAAATGGTTAAGAATTTCATTTATGAATCTTAAGGTACTGGAGATTGTCCCAACAAATAGGAATAGCATTAAAATATATATGTATACATATAGTGGTATGCTAATACAGTGTGGCTTTTAAGTGACATTTTTGACACATCTGAGGGGAAGAATTGAAAGAGAATTTTTAACATTCACTATTCAAAAAGGGAAAACAACTGCTCAGGGATACAAAATATAAAGCTAAACTAATCAACCTTTCAAAGGACAGTGGACTCTATGATAATAAGTCATTTATTTTGTGATAAAATAATAGGCCCAAGGAAACATGAAAGAAACTTGCACACACCATCTTCAGGAATGCTCAATTTTATAAACATGAGCCTAAAATGGGCTTTCCTTTTTGAGGTCTGTTGCCAGAGCAACCAGGAAAGCTAGTCTTTGAGAGAGAATTCAAAAGCAGGTTAAGGATAAGAGGAGGTAATCAAAGTTTTCTATCAGGAATACAATGTGGCAAGAAGAGTAACACAAAGAATACAAATTGCACAGACAGACAAAGCAGCAACTTCAGAGTGACAGAACAAATTACTAACAAGAAATAGCATCCTCTATTCTAATTTCCCCCACTTTTACTGCTATAATTGACATATAACATTGTATTCATTTAAGGTATATAACATAATGATTGTGTAGATGTGTATATTTCAAAATAATTACCCCAGTAAGTTTTGTTAACATCCATCACCTCACAGTTAGAAATTTTTTTCTTGTGATAAAAACTTGTATGATTTACTCTCCTTGCAAATTCCATCCCCCAATTCCAGCCTTCCCTGAAGTACTCTTCCCCATCCCAAACTCCAGAATAATACTAAAACCCTCCACACATTCACTTGCCACTATCAAGGAGAGTTAGCAACACCCTTATTCCAACGCCAACATATTCCCATGACTCAAAGAAAAGGTGAAATACAAACATCAACACTCTGACATCAACAATATCCAATGTTACACAAGGTCATAAGTCATCATGAATCCTAATTCTTATTAAACATGCCCAGAAGTCTAGGTCTAGACACCCATTATACTATATTGGTATCAGAAAACTAAAGTCCCATTCTAATGTTCTGTGGTGGTCAAGGATAAGGAAAAGTGAAAAACAATAAGTAAAAAATGTCTATACCAATATCATGGTGTTAATGTAAAGTAATACAGATGGACATAAGAGATGGGTGGACAATCATATTCCACATCGTCATATTCTACAAAATCATATTGCACACCAGCCAGCAGCAGGAGAGTCCCCATGAAGAGAAAAGGAACAATCAACCAAAGGTAATGTCTGTTTCTCAATGTATCAATAAAAAAAGCTTTGAGTTTTTATGCTTTTTTTTTCAAATACAGGACATTGAGAGTAAATTTAACAAGATGGATATAAAGTATAAAAGATGGTGCATTTGTATATGGCTGACCACCTTCTGAGTTTCCACTCCAGTTCCACTGGAAGTAACCATTCCTTCTACTATAAATTCCCATCACATTTCACTGGTCTCTTCCAGTCTTATGTCATAGTTTTCACTCACATATTTTATACCTCAAGTATACTATATGCACAAAAGTAACATCATGCCTGATTCGTCTATATAAAACTCCAGGCATTCACTCCCACATGCAACAAATATTTACCAAGTACTACTAAGTGCCAGGCACTATACTACAAAATTGGCACTATAAACATATTATGCAAATTAATGTTGACTGTAAGCAGAAAAAAATTTTCCCAAAAGAATCCAAATAAATTCACATTATAATTCCAATAGGGATTACGATGGCAAGCTACTAATATTCTAGTTAGAGTTTAAGCATCATGAGAAACATTTTACTGCACCCAAGAATAGTGACATTTTACTGCACCCAAGAATAGTGACATCAAGAATGTGAGTCCTGCATATTTCTTCTGCATGGCCTACCAAATCTATTAAGTTAATGCCATACAGAGAATAACCAACTTAATCCTAAAAATTTTTGGTAGTTATGATTTTAATATGCCATCATCTTAAGTTAGAAACCCCTAAAGAACATATAGGGGATGGGTCTATCAGTCCATGAGTTATGGGCTGTTGTAAAAGTTCCATCTATCTGTGCATTCTAAACTTATTAACTACCAGGAACAGTCGGGCTTGGATGTAAAGAAAAAAATCAGGGCACTCCAGAAGATCTCCAAAACTCAAATAAAAGTTTGACACAGTTGTGTGTGGGGCAGTGGGGAGGGAGGACATTTTATTTTATGAAAAACATCTGAGTTGAAACTCAAATGTCAACAACATAAAAACATGTCATCATGCATTTTATGCAGGTTGCTTTTAGTCACTCCCTGTAGCATCCATAATGGTGTCAATTTCACTTCTTTAAAAAAAAAAAAAAAAGCCCTTAGAAGGGCCACCACTACCACTCCGAGCGTACAAATTCTGACAAAATAATGTGCATCGAAGATAATCTGAAATTTGCTTTGTTTTATTTTTAAGCACGGACAGGGATTAGAAAGGTAGTACAAAAATCTAAAATAGATGGGTGCCTTCAAATCCAGAATCCTACTAGCTCACTGCAGGCTGTATTTGTATTTGAGGCTGTAGCCATTCACAGGTGGTGGGAAGTGTGTAAGAACACAATCTACAACTCCTGACGGGGGGTCTCCGGACTCGGGGCCTTACACCCCGAAGTCCAGGATACAAGTACGTTCCTGGGGAGCACCACTGAAAGCAATCAATGAATAAACGCTGTATAAATGAATGAACACACCTTCACCTGGCTTGCTCTATCAAGCCCCAAACAGCGTGCTTTGAGGGCCCGGGACACTATTGGAGATCTCAGGCCCTAAAGAAAAGACTTTGAGGCGGGGTTCCTCCCTCTAGCCCCACCCCAGAGTTAAAGGGGGGACTGTGGGGTCCCTTGGAGCGGGTAAAAGGGGAGGCAAGGAGTAAAGAGAAGGACCCGCAGGCTGGAACCCAGCTAGCCCTTCTCCCTTCCAAAGCGGAGGTCGAGCCGCTGACCCCAGTCCCCGTGCCTGCCTCCAGCCTCCCTCACCTGATCACAGAGATGAGGAGCCCCGAGGGGTCTTTGCTTTTGCTCACTGTGCCTCTGTATTTCCCACCAGCTGCTTCTGCCGCCATCTTGGTACCGGGCGGGGGTAGTCAGTGGATTCAGGAACCAAAGCGAACGTACGCTCCTTGCAGGAAACTCCACCAATAGGAGACGAGAAATCCGGAGACACGGAACTAGATAACCCAATCGCTGGAGCGCGGAGGCGTGACTAAAGCTGCGAGTCCGGCCTCACGGGCGCCCTAAGCATTCTGGGAATCGTAGTTTTCCTTCCGCGGTTCATGGTGGCTCTGCAGACCTAAACCTTCCTGAAGTCACCTGTGTCTTCACAGTGTCTGGCTGTGCTTTGATGTCTGTGAGCAAAGTTTTTACTTTCAACACAAATGGTAAAAAAGAAAAAAACACGAATAAAATGGGGAAATGAATAGACACATATTTTTCCTTATTCCTTCTTCATTTTATGTGTAAGTTCAATTTGTTTAATGTCCCTATAGTTCCAGATTACCCTCAAAAACACACACAGGTGCACGCAAATGAATACTGACAAACAAAAGACTGAAACAAACAAACAGCAATAAAAAGCTAAACAGATTTCTGCTTCTATGTCTTCCCAAACTAAATAAAATATAGATCATAATAATGTCCATTAGTGCTTTGTTAATATTTTTACTGGCAAGTTTTCAGATTTCATGCATTTGAACCCATTAAATTTCTCATAAGGTCATAAAATGAAATGGAGTGGGAGGGGGTAGTTTAGCATATGTATGGAAAGTGAATGTAGAAACAAGATAATTATTGAGAAGGAGGCATTCTGCTTGATGGCAAAAAATAAACAGCATCTTCAGAGATGAATAGAAAGCAAACTCATGGGTCCTTCAATTGTGAAGCAACATGCACAGCATCAACTACTTTTATTTAGCAGAAACTGAGTTGGTAGTTTACAATGGCTAAAAAATGTGTGTGTGTGTATGTGTCTGTGTGTGTGTCTGTGTGTGTGCACCTGTGTGTAGGTTGTATATATGTAAAATCTAGGGAATTTGTTCCTAAAGATGCAGAAAAATATTGAAATTTTAAAAGCGTAGAAGTACTATATTAATTCTAGAATAACTATGTGAGGATATTACATATAGCCACTGGAAATAACAAGAAAATGTTGGTGGTGTAAATATAAAGAGCAGGCTATAAGATTAAATTACTTGTGTGTATAGAAAAGCAATTGGATCTAATGACTGAGAATATAGACAGTAGAGGGGAAAACACTTGATTGTCTACTTTGATGCAGAAAAAGCTTTTGATAAAATCCAAGACTTTTCTTGATGAAACACTCAGGAAACTAGAAATAGAAGGGAACTTCAACATGATAAAGGACTTTTATTAAAAAACCACAGCAAACATCATATTCACAGGTGAAAAACTGAAAGTTTTCAGCTCTGATCAGGCATGAGATAAGGATGCCCATTTTTGCCACTTTTATTCAAAATGTTCTGGAAATTCTAGCCAGGGCATTAAGCAAGAAAGAGTAAGTCATCCAAATTGGAAAGGAAATAGTAAAACTATTTCTATTTGTAGACAAGAAAATCTACAAATCTATTTGTAAATTTTACATACAAGAAATTCTAAAGAGGGCCTCCCCAGTGGCACAGCGGGTTGAGCACAGCGCTGTGAAGCTTTCTGCAGCCTCCACAGTGCCAGTTCGATTCCCGGCCAGCCAGAGAGAATCCCACATGGTGAGGCAGACCTCTCCTGTCTCCCCTGCTCCCCTCAGCAGTGCTTTCTGTCCGCCTGCCTATTCTCCTCCCCGCTCTGTCTCTGGTGAATCCTCTCACCCTCCTGCGACTCTGGCCTGTACCCCAGCTCTTGTATAAATAAAAAAAAAAATCTTAAAAAAAAAGAAAGCAATTCTAAAGAACAAAGAAAAATTAGAGCCAAGAAATGAATTTAGCGTGGTTACAGAATACAAGATCAACCAGAAAAACAACAGTAGTAGCTCTCTACAATAAAAATGAACAATCCAAAATGAAAATTAGCAAAACAATTCCACTTACAATAGCATCAAAAAGAATTAAATATTTGGGAATAAATTTAACCAAGAAGGTTAATGGATGTATACCCTGAAAACTACAATTGAATAACTGGGCAATGGACTTGAACAGACATTTCTTCAAAGAAGATAAGCAAAAAAGCCAAAGGGCCTGAAAAGATGCTCAACATATTAGTCATTAGGGAAATGCAAATCAAAACCACAATGAAATACCACTCAACACACACTAGCATGGCTATAACTTTTTTTAAAGAGAAAATAAATGGTGGCAAGAATGCGCAGAAATTGGGAAAATGCCTTGCTGCTGAGAGTGTAAAACAGTTTAGCACAAGGAGAAACACATTAGTTGCATCTCAAAAGGTTTAACATAAAATAACCATAGGACCCAACAATTCCACTCATAGGACAGAAAGTCCCAAAGAATGAAAACAACTGCTTCAAGAAAGCCTTACACACAAACATTCACAGCAGTTCTGTTCACAAGAGCCAAAGGGAAGAAAAAGGCTGAAATACCCATCAGTAGATGAGTGCAGTGTCATACATGGTATATGATGGAAATAGAAGCAAAGCATGACATCGCCATACAGTCATAAAGAGTGAAATATTGGGCCTCCCTGGTGGCGCAAGGGGTTAAGCACAGCACTGTGTAGCTATCCACAGCCTCTACAGCACGAGTTCCGAGTTCCATCCCTAGCCAGGGAGCTGACCCACATGGCACAACAGACTTCTCCTGTCTTGCCCACTGCTCCCCTCAGCAGTGTATTTCAGTCAGTCTGCCTGTTCTGTTCCCCGCTCTGTCTCTCATGAATCCTCTTACCCCCCACACCTCTGGCCTGTACCCCAGTTCTTGTATGCATAAATAAATAAATCTTTAAAAAAAATAAAAGGGAAGAGTGAAATATTGATGCGTCTACAACATGGTGAAACCTTGAAACATTGTGCTAAGTGAAAGAAGCCAAACATAAAAGGTTTCATTGTAGATGAGTCCTTGAATATGAAATATCCAGAATAAGCAAATTCATACAGAGGAAAAGCAGGTTAGTGATTGCCAGGGGCTAGGACAGGTGGGGATGAAGAACAACTGCTCTGCTAGATATGGGTCTCCCTTTGGGTTTGATCCTAATATGCTGGAACTAATAGGGATGGGGAGGCATGATTCTGTGCATGCATTAAAGGCCATGAATGATAAACCTCAAAATGGTTAAAATGATAACTTTCTCCCTACTAAATTTTTATTAAGTCAACATTGTATGTTTCAGGTATACTGGTATAATTTAGCATCTGCATACACTACGCCATTAATTTAATTAATACCAAAAAGTTTGTGTTCTTAAAAATGGTTTGATGTTATATGTATTTTGTCGCAATAAAAACAGTCAGAAAAACAGGTCATGCAGTAACCTACATTCAATCCCAGCATTCTACTTATTGCCTAGGTTACCTTAGGAAAGTAACCTAAATTTCTTTGTGCCTCAGTTTCCTTATCTGTAAAGCAGATGATAATGCTACTTCCCTGAGAGGGTTATTGTGTGACTATGGGAGATATGTAGGACCTACACTTGGTAAATAGTAACTGTGATTACTAAAGAATCATGCAAATTTTGTTTAAAATACACTCCTGCTGGTGTTATGAAGTTGTTTTGAGGAGCAAGAATATGGACAGTTTTTCATTTTGTCTTTACACATTTCCCTGTTTCCCACATGTTTAGGAGTTGCTTTAGAAACTCAAGTAAACAAAAGAAGCTGTTGTTGTTTAAGGAAGAACTGGCTAAGCATCAAACACGATGGGCTACTTTAATCACTAAGTGGAAATGCAATTATGTGATCACTAATCAATACACCCCAATTAAACATTCATCTACTAAATCTGCTTTTGCTTTTCTGTTCCACTTTCTTCACACCCCAACTCAGGAAATCCTACCCATGGTGCCGTACATGTGCAGGTAACTAACATATCCTTTCACATTGCTTCTATTCTAGATTAACTGAATGAATCAAAACTTGGGCCAAATTGAACAATGAAAAAAAAAAATCAGGGAAAGCTCAGTGGAGCCACCCATTTGTAATCTTTACCCCTCAATACAACTCAAACTATCAAGTTACCTGGAACAAGCTAAAGTTTACAAATATCCAAGGGATTGATTTTAGATTCTTCTGTGTGGAAGCCTGACACGTTACACAGGGAAATAAAGAAAAGGAAAGTAGAAGTGACAGTGAACCAAAGCATCTATTGAATGTCCAGAGAATAAGAGCATAAATGTTGCAGATGTTTCCATGCCAAGTAAGCAAGGAGACTTGGATGACTTGGAACAGGTCTGTTAAATTAAACTGGATCTTAAAAAAAAAAGTACAGTTAAACACCTAAAGAGAAGGAGAACATCTAGATAGATCAAGGTGTAAAATGAAAACATACCTCCTGCATTAAGGGTATAATTTGACTAGACTAAGGTTCATGAGGACGGAGCAGTGTCCAGGGGGAATTGATGCATAGAGATCTGCTCAGAAATGACCTTGAACCCCATGGCCAGGCATTGGATATGTTTGTTCAATGAATTTGAGAAGCAGTGTATGTTCAGGTCTTGTTTTATGTTGTCTATTATATTGTAAACCAGGGCAGACTGTTTCTTATTATTACATTTGTAAATATACCCAGAGGCTCTTAAAGCCACGGGAACATCCAATTAAATTAAAATGCTTTGACCTCTTTGGATGAGAGGTTCTATATAAATCCCAGGTATTGATATTCTTATTATTGTGGATAAATGAAATGTGTGAGTGAGGCTAACTCAGCAATAGAATGACTTCCCTGAGACTCATAAAAAAATGCCAGGTCTGGGTGTCTGCAGGAACCCAGCACAGAATCAGGGGATTTTAAAAACAGTATCTCATATCAGCCATGGGGGTGGAACTCTGGAAAAGGAGCCATTTCTTACCCCCATCAACATTGCCTGCCTATGGCGGTCAGCTCACCTAAGGTATAAAAATGTGCCTTAGACTTGGCTACATAAATCAACGCACTGCATATAAATTATAATCTGAAGAAAAAAATACAAGGATAATTTCATCACAGAAA